TAAACACCAAGCCATACTGAACCATACTGATGTGGCCCGATGATTCTTTGAGGCGCTCATCGTGATATGGTTAAAAGTTTGCTGATGTGTTACTGTACAATCAGCTTATTTTCTTAGTGATGTTAATTGTTTCATTTCACTTAAATATTTGGCTCCTTTATCACTAATTTCATTGTTATAAATATAAAGTAATGTCAGTTGTTTCATTTCACTTATGTATTTGGCCCCTTCATCACTAATTTCATTGTAACCAATATTAAGTGATGTTAGTTGTTTCATTTCACTTATATATTTAGCTCCTTTATCACCAATTTGATTGTCATAAATATAAAGCGATGTTAATTGTTTCATTTCACTGATGTGTTTGGCTCCTTCATCACTAGTTTCATTGTTAGAAACATTAAGTGATGTTAATTGTTTCATTTCACTTAAATATTTGGCTCCTTTATCACTAATTTCATTGTTATAAATACAAAGTGATGTCAATTGTTTCATTTCACTGATGAATTTAGCTCCTTCAACAGTAATTTCATTGTAACCAATATTAAGTGATGTTAGTTGTTTCATTTCATTTATATATTTGGCCCCTTCATCACTAATTCGATTGTGAGAAACACAACAAATTAACGGAGGCTAGTGGCACGTTTTGTGTTTTAGACGCAAAAAAAAATGAAAATACACTATGAAGCTAACTCATCCCACGCAGGTAGACTTGGTAGGATAATACACAACAATCAAAAACAAATACACAATGACTAAACGTTCAACAAACAACAATAATAACAAACCTAGTAAGTTACTATTATTTATTTATCCTCTAACTTGCAAAATACAGACCGTAAAGTAATTAATGCCAAAACAGAAGCCAAGTGGTTTATTTATGAAGCATCAAAGAACAAGAACACCAAGTTTACAGCAGAGTTTGTTCCATTAGAGGAGCCAGTAATGAAGACTCCAGTGTATCGTATGAAACAAGCTTGTTGTTTGGAAATGTTTTGTGAGAATGCTTCTATTCTACTTGGTTTTTGTCTTAATCCTTCCATTCACAAGAGATACCAAGATAAGATATTCATTGGTGGGTTGACAGTTGAATACTTTGTTTCCTACTTCAGTAGAGTAGAAAATCATGTTGTGAACGATCCTAGAAAACAATTTATGCATTTCAATGGCCAAATAATAACTGTGAATTGTCCTTCTTTTAGTTTCATAGGATTCGATAATCTTCCTAGTTTGGGTAATAAGAAAGCATATCATGGAGTTACTTGGAATGTGTACACTAACCAAAGAGTATACAATAACACCCGAAATATGTATCAGTATGAACCTAGATGTGATGTTTACAGAGTTAGATTTGTTTATTTGGAATTCTTTTGTAATCCAGTTACCAACCTAGTTTTTGCAAAGTACGAGATTGTCAAAGAACATTTTAATTATCTAAATAATTGTTGGGAATTGATTTAATAATATCAATAAATTATTTCTTTTTAAATTTTATATAATCTCTTTAATAATATTTCATGTCAATAACTCACTGATTATTTTATATTAAATTAATTACCGTTACGTTTCAAAATTTAAAAAAAAAACTCAATACATGAGTTCCCATAAATCGATCTTGGCAGAGATTATTGGGAAGGAAATTTCTTGTATCTGTAGAGATAATGTGGAATTCTTTAAATTCAACGAAATTTGTAAAGGAAATTTCACAAAGTTATTCCCAAACTATAAATTGGAAAGATCTTTAAGATTTATTGAATGCTCTCGGAAATGTTTGTATGTTGATTTCCAATGGGCTGTAGAGATGTTGTTTAGACAACCTGAACGCAAGGATAATATTTTGAAACTTTTGTTTAGACTTGTAGAAATAAACATGAGTTCAAATAATATTCAACATATTTCTTCTTGTGGACCAGTTATGTCTCAAACAAATGAACAATCTGAACAAACAACCCAAATTCCACCATCTGAATCCCAAACAACTGATCAACATTCTCTTGATTTAAATGACCAAAATATTCAACCAACCGAATCTCAAAATAATGATTCATCTAATAAGCAAAAGAGAAAAAGAACAACGACATCAAAGAGTACCTCTGTGAGTGTTATTGATAAGGAAAACTTGAAGAAGGCACTGAATTTGAAGATACCAGAAAGAAATATTCTTCAAGAAAAGGAGGTAAAAAAGAAACGAAAAAAAACGAAACAATTCAAACCAAATGATCAAACAATAAGGAAAAAAGAAAGAAGACAACAAGTTATTAAGGTAATCAATGAAAAATTGGGGGGCTTTAGAAAAATTGATGAAAAGAAATATACTAAAGTTAATTTAGCAAAAATTAACTTAGTTTCAGATGATAGTGAACGTACACCTTTAGTAATTCATAATAGCGTTAAGAGATCGGATTTAGATAATAGTTTCGAACAATCCAAAACTAAATGTGAGGATTTTATGGAAATATTTGCTGGAATAGCCAATTTATGTAACATTGAATTGTCACATATATTTCTTTCCTATTTTAGGAAAAATGTGACACATGCAATGAGTATACTAAATGCTCTTTTGGCATGTAAGAGACATCCAGTGGCTGATGAGAAGACTTATAATGAGTTACAACGAATGAATCTGTCTAAAAAAACCCCATCTTTAGAAAAGCAATTGAAAACAAAAGACGAGGTGGGGTTGTCAGATTACTCTTTCAAAGAAATTGTTTTGTTATCAGAGGGCAATATGAAGGCTTCTTTAACTGAAGAGACCAAAAAGTATAACAAGATTGTACAGGAATACTTTAATGTAAATCAGGTTAAAAATGGTTTCAAAGCAAACCTACTTCCATTAATGACGGCAATATCGAAAGCTCACCTTCATCAAGTTAGTGTTCGAAAAGAACATAACCTCCCTGTGAATGATGTTGTACATCATACTGAATCAATTAAGGAAGGTGTTTGTTTACCTGAAGACTTGAAATGGAAGATTTCAATGGACGGTAGAGAATTTGGAAACTTGAGAACTGTGGTTGTTACTTTACAAGTTTTGAATTTGTTAACATTTGCAACTCAGGATCCTAAATCTGTAATTCCTATTTGCATGTTTGTTGGCGAGGAATCGGAGGTTATGGATCATATGAAAGACTTTGAGAAGGAATTGCAAGAAATTGCAAATCAAGGATTATGTATTGAATATGAGAAAAATGATGCAAGTCTTGGTTTCCCAAAGTTGAACGAAAGTGGTATCAAAAATTCTGTAACAATTCCTTGTGAATTCTATTGGGTCAGTGACTTAAAATCACTGTCTTACGTTTCAATATTAAGAGATGATTGTCAATTTTGTGCTTTTTGTGATTGTGAAAGGGAAAATTCAGTGATGTCATTAGAACATGGCGATGTTTGTTCACATCGAGATATTGGTCATAAGTTTGGAATTAAGAATATTTATTTTTGCATCCTTCACTTGGATGAGAGAATCACTGAATATATTATGAAGATGACACTAATATCCACAAAATCCGAATCACAAATATTGGGAAATCTTAAAAAGATTCATGGATTTGGTTCATTTTCCTTCTCAGTTAAGGAAAGAGAAGAGCAGGCACTCAATATTTCAGAATATTCATTTATGTTCACAGGGAGTCATTGTTCTAAAATATTTGGGCATATTGATTCAATTTTGGACTTTGTGAAAAAGGATCATCCAAAGATTTGGAAAATTTGGGAAGGATGGAGAACAATTAGAAGATGGATATATTACACAAATGAACAACTTGATTCAAAATCAAGTGATGAATTCTTCCAACTGAAGAATTTAATTAGTGAATGGGGAGGTTTAATTGCTGAAATAAGAAGATCAGCTGGAACCGTTGGTGATTACATTCACATTGTTGTTAACCATTTATTCGAATTATTGACAACAATTGGAAGCTTGGTTCCCTTCTCCAATCAAGCTGTTGAACACAGTCATAAGTATGATCGGTGGTTGATGGAAAGATGTGTGAGTAGAGGAAAGATGAATATAGGGACCAAAAAGACATCCAAACCTCATGAATATGTGATTGAAGATAGTTCCACATTGATTGACCATGTTAGAAATGATACGCTTCTTGATTTTACATATAGTAATCTAATTCAAAAAACGAATGAAACATCTTGGAATGATTTGTACCAAATAGCTCAAATTATGTTTAAGAAATTTAGAATTTTATATCTTTCATTCACTGCTGAAGATGTGGTCTTCAAAAGATTAGAACTAAGGGTTGGTAGTGTCATTAAATCTTTCTGGGAAAGAAACATTGAAATTAGTAGACCACCTTTACAATTTGATTCTGGTTCATACGAATCACCTATTGCCGTTTGTAATATAGGTTCCCACAGTCCATCAAGTTATCAATCATTAACGAATGAAGAGGCTCGACAACTTGCTTTTACATTTACTACCAGTGCTCCATCTCCCACATTCATGACCCAAAATAATTCATTTGATTCAAATAATTCCATTGAAAGAAACTATCCTGAGAACCAATTATTAATGACTGAAACTTTGAATCTAATGGTAGCCTATCAAAACAGCATTAATTCACATCCTCCTTATTCCGATACGATTATAAATCGGAACGAACAATCTGATGAAGATGATGTTTTATTAGACACCTCCTTCTTTAAACAATATAATCAAAATGCTTATGTTGACGAACAATATGATTGGCAGGATTTACTTGGGTGTGCAGACTTCTACTTTGATGATTGAATGTATTACATAACTGTTGTAAAAAGAAATAAAAATTTGAAAGAAAAAAAATGCGGTTAAAAATTTTTGCCAAGAAAACTAGGTGGAGTATCTCACCATCACATGGGTGTTAGATACTTCTAAAGTTCTTGGTGGTTGTTTTAGCCTTTGTTGAGTCGTTTACACTCTGATTGTACAGCCAATCAGAATATTTTCGAACCCTCCATTATTGATTCCTTTTGTTGATCAAATATACACCTGCTACAACATCAAAATCTTCTACTCAACAGCATGAAACACCATCAAGTTGTGGCCAAAATATCAACAACATCCGAACCACCTAAAATGGCTTCATGAAGCATCATTCAGTGACATTACACTCAACACCAACAACAGTATTTGTTTTTGGAACTCAACCACTGATCCTAAAGATAATATTATCAAAGACCCCAGCAACTTCTGTCACAACTCTTGTTGTTAAAACAGAGCAAGTCACAATTACACCAACAACTATCGTTCCACAAGATAATAACAGCACTTCAACAGCATCAAGTGAATCAGGTAAAACGACATTTTTGGTTTTTATATTTCTCTAGCCATTCGAAGGTCAACAAGTGAAAGGTAATTTAAATTTGAAATTATTGTATAATCCTCAAGTTGATGATAATACTCCAACTCTTATCGATGCTTATCCAAAACAAGAAACCACTGATTAGAGACGACCCAGTTCAATCATCCAAAGAGAGGGTAAGTATTTTAGTTAATTAAGCCATTTAACATTTGACATTTGTACAACCATTCTTTTAGACGCAATTAACAATCGTGCTGCTATTGCACAAATGGTATTCCAGTTTATGGAACTATGATTATGTCACTGATGTTACTGTTGTTGAAATCAAGTTTGGTGAAGAGGGAGAAAGTGTGTGAGAATTCAAATGACTCGAATCAATTATTGAATATTATTTTTTAAGGAAATTATGATTCTTGAAAGCGAATAATATCAAATGTTTGACAAGAGAAATCAATCTGTAAGTATGAAACATCAACAACATCATCTTTGGTGGAGATGGTGTTGTTACCAATAACAGTGCTGACCACTGTATGAAACAACAACAATGTTGTAATTATTATACATTTATTTCAATTTATTTTTACATTTAACTCTCTTTTTGTTAATTTTTTTCTTTTCTCGTAAGTACTTTTTTAAAAATCTTTTTTTGTATTCATTCATACTTTTTCTACCTTTTTTGGATCTTTCTTCTCGTAGTTCTTTGTCATTAGCATTAAATGGTAAAGCAGGTAAAAAATCATCATTATTTCTAACTCTGAAATGAGCTTCTCCAGCAAAATATACTAAACCAAACCTTATTCCAGAGGTCACTTTAGTAACTTGGTGAGCATAAAATTTAGAATTTAAAAATACCAAATCCCTTCTTTGAATTGGAAAGTTGAATACTTTCAAGTTCTCAATATGAATAATAAGATTGCCACCTTCAATTATTTCACTTCCGAAATATGTTAATACTCCTAATCCAATATCATTACCATCAGTGTGTTTGCGATATGGTTTCTTACTTATATTGTAATTTTCATTATGAGATACATTTAATGCTAAAGTTGGGTATTTAGCAAAAATTTTATAATTTTTAATATCCTCATTAATATTATCCAACTTATTAAACATATTCTTATTAATATGTTTTAACTTATCCAAAACAAATGGTCCACACTTATCATTCAATTCATGTAATAGAATACTTTGGTTAGTAGTAATTGTTTTAACTGGATAAATTCCATTTCCATATCTTGTCCATGATCCATCTATAATTGCCTTTTTACAACTTAAAATATCAACATCACTATTCGCAACTACAGTCTCCATTTCCAAGCATAATTCTTCAGGAATAGCATTTGGAAAAAAAGCAATGTCTACCTGTCCATTAGGACATAACACAATCCAATTTGTTCTATCACATACTTCCTCTTTAACTAGGTGATTTTTGTGTCTAAAATGTGTTCCTCTCCAATCTATTCCGATATCCATTTTGATGATGTTTTTAATTCTTCTAATTAATTGTTCATTAAATATGGTTTTATCAACATCAATTACATTACTATCAAAAAGATCAACCTGTCTGGGAGGGAATGATATCATTTGATTATTAATAATACTAGAATATATAAAATTATTAATATTTGTAGTTAATAAATGATTGTTTGTTGATGAAAATAATTATTATTTCTGTGATGATGTGATGGTGTTTGGAACGGCTTGTTGGCTGCGAATAACTTGTGGTTCTTACTCTTGGTGGCAAGCGTATTTTTTAAAATACCAAATTGGGACCCAAGTATGCGATACTGGGGTCGCAAACACAATTCGTACCGCTAATTTGTTGTGTGAAGCGATGTTAATTGTTTCATTTCACTGATGTATTTGGCTCCTTCATCACTAATTCGATTGCTACCAATATTAAGTAATATTAATTGTTTCATTTCACTTATATATTTGGCTCCCTCTACACTAATTCGATTCTTATAAACATTAAGTGATGTCAATTGTTTCATTTCACTGATGAATTTAGCTCCTTCATCACGAATTTCATTGTTAGAAACATTAAGTGATGTTAATTGTTTCATTTCACTGATGTATTTGGCTCCTTCATCACCAATTCGATTGCTACCAATATTAAGTAATATTAATTGTTTCATTTCACTTATATATTTGGCTCCTTTATCACTAATTTGATTGTAATATATATTAAGTGATGTTAGTTGTTTCATTTCACTTATATATTTGGCTCCTTCATAACCAATTAGATTGTGAGAAATATCAAGTGATGTCAATTGTTTCATTTCACTAATGAATTTGACTCTTTCTCTCGAGCCAAGCAAATATCCAGAAAATTCAACATTAACAATACTATTCCTAAATTGACTTTTCTTGAATAATTTAATTCTTTTCTTTGTAAATTTGTTTTTAAATTGAATAACAAGTTTTGAACGTTCCTTGATCACATTAAAGAATTGTTTTGAAATTAAAGCGCAATTATTTAAAATAAACCACGAATCATCAATCATTGAAATTATTTCAAAACAAATATCATCTGAAAATATTTCTTGTCGTTGGAGTTTCACAAATTTTTTCTTCTGTTTTGCTTTCACCATATTATTATGGTGAATTGTGAATATTTCCTCCGAATTATTCGTATGATGATTTTCAAAATCTTGACTGTTTCGTTGACCCATTTTTTTAAATTTGAATGATTTAGAGAAATTGTCTGATATTTTAACAATCGGCATTGGAAAGCACTACTGCATAACAAAGTGATCTAATTATTGAAGGAAGTTAAAGACACTCTATATTTGAGTGGTGGGATCATAAACTATATAGTACTATTATTACAAAGATATCATTGATTGATGGATGAGGAAATTACTTGAATCATCGTATCAGTAAATACACCATCCCTCAATCTATTTTTCAGTTTT